TTGCCCCACGGGAGACCTGTTGTAATATTGTCTTTGGGGTCATTTGAGAATCAATGTTTGGTATTTTCTTGGACAATCGGCTTCTTTTTATCACACAATGATAATTAGCAATAACTCACGTATCAGATTTTACGGTTAACCTATTGCCGAGCCTGGTATAAATTCATTTGGCAATCCATAGTGGAAAAGCACATTTATGGGTACCTGAGTCGGATGAACCTACTTCAGATAAAATTCAAACTGCACGCCTTGAATTTCCAAGGTGTATGTACACGTGTATGTGTATCGTATGTGTGCATACATAAATATATTGGGGTGTTGTTCAAGGTTTGAGGGATGTTTATTTATATGCTACATGGTACGAGTTGGGTTTGCACTGATTTCTGAGCTTGCACATGTTGACACTGCACATCGATGTCGAATGTGTGCACACAAGCACGAGTACAAGCAATATTGTATTTTGTGCACGTAAACCTCTAGGTATGAATGTATATCCAGTAGTAGTAGATATATTCCCGCGCACTTCTCGGCCACAATTTGAGACATAATTATGATACATAAACGACACATTATTTGTGAATTGCCAATACGATATGCTCCTGCGTGCTGCGCATACAGATTGAGCTCCGACCAATGGAGGCGAATGGTATTGCTGCCCTTCACCATGGACCGGTAAGTTAAATAACACATGTATAATATCACAATCTCACAAGCTAGGTCAGTTAAACTTTAGCACCATATCTTGTTCAGATAGACATTATATGTCTAATATCACAACCTCAAAGGCTAGGTAAGTTAAACTATATAGCCATAACTTGTTCAGGTAGACACTATACGTCTACTATCTCATAGGCTAGGTATGTTAAGCTCTTATCACCACAACTTGTTCAGGTAGACACTATATGTCTAATATCACAATCTCATAGGCTAGGCAAGTTAAACTCTAGCATCATAACTTGTACATGTAGACACTATATGTCTACTATCACAAGCTTGTAGGCTATGGCTTTCCAGTTTGGTAGTATCTAGAAGCACACCGTATGAATGTAGGTGCTGGTGTTTTGCTGTGGTCGCTTGGAGTACATGCTGTATGCATAAATCATTATCTGCAATTGTCGCATGTATGACATTCAGACATCATGTGTATTATATTTTGCTTCAAACTTCATTCGTTTCAAGATCTTCACGATGTTTTGTTCCATTCATAACGGCTTGGTAGTGTTTAATACGTACTTACATATGTGTAATGTAGTGTGGTTTCCATTGCAAGCGCTAAGCTTGAGGTTTTCATATATATACACGAATGGCTACAACCTATTGTTAGTTGTCGCAGGCCTTCTATGCTCCACATGTGGTGGTATCTGAGTCATCTATCGAAATGCTGTGTTTATGTCAGTCCGTCCATGGATAAGATGTTATGAGTTCCGTGCCGCCACATCGATATCCTGTGAAACCAATGTATACCGCAAGTACCTTAATGTTATACTATATCGCACTAAGTGTCAGTTTAATGTCTACTGCTTGTTGCAAGGTATGCAGCTGTCTAATGATCGTTGCGTCCCGCCACAGATCAATGCAATACACCTTGGTAACTATAGCAACGAACTGACGTGTTTTGATGTGCTACGAGAACCAACGTTCACCCCACCACGCATGCCCATTCTCCCGTATCTTTTGAATGGTGCTACCACATCACCGCATGGTCCAAGAGGTGTGATAATCGGAACACATGAATATGCATGTGTTTGTGTATGTGTATGTGACTCTGTCTCTGTGTATCTTTGTATGTGGTGGAAATTACTGGTTTACATTGTCCCTAATACTGAAGTTCGCATAGATTATTCCACGCATGCCATTCTCCCGTATCTTACGAATGGCTCAACAGGTGTGACAATCTGAACACATGCATATATATA